CAGTAATTCACCGAGGGAAGTGAAAACTATAGTTTTTTCTTCTTCTCCTCTTATAATATCTTCTGATTCACTTCGTTGCTGGAAACCAAGACAGTTACTCATGTCCCTGGGACGCGCCGGACTCCAATGTTCTCGTGTTTTCATGTTTGTATCTACTGTAGATCCTGGTTTACAGGAGTTGCAGCGGTTTTAGGATGTTGTGGCGAGCTTGTCCCTAAAAAAAAAGATCATAATAAGTCAGTAACCACAAAACTGATAAGCACTGGACTTATTAAATCTTTGTGTAATTCTCAGGTTTAAAAAGTGGTTAGTATTTAGCACTAATCGTAATATCCTAACATCTACACTAGCTTTACCATATATGCGTAAAACTCTTGAACAGGAACTTAGTGACGCCATTTCCTTAAATGAGGATATCCTCTCGGTTTATAAAAACCAGTTGACCTTGAGTTCTTATTAATTTTAATTTCATACGTTTAAATCTTTCTCCACGCCTGTTTATCTAGATCTGTATCAACCCTGAGACTTGAGTAGATTTGACAAAATGTTAATATGTTTATGAATTTAAGCAATAGCCATTTGTCATCCACATCCTACCAGACTCAACACGACATTGTTACTCAGAAAGCTAAGTCAGAGTTTTGCAAAATATAATGATGCTTTTTTAACATAAAACTAGTAACATAGACGATCTCATGAACTAACCTCCTTTTGAAAAAATAACAGGCACAGTTGTTACCGATATGTTTCTAATTGGTGACCCATTTCATTTAGACTTAAGTTAACAAACGACTGCTAGACAACGAGCATGCACGAGTTAGCTTCAGACCCTCATATAACATTTAAAATGTAGGATGAAGAAACAGAAGTATATTTACTATATTGTAATAATAACTTATTTATTTACTCGGCGGTATTTCCGAACCGATACGACCTTCAAACCTTCAAGAAAAGAGCGTATTCCTTTTTAAAAGGCCGGCAACGCACCTGTGACTCCTCTGGTGTTGTCCATGGACGGCGCTGATCGCTTACCATCAGGTGATCCGACCTGTGACTCCTCTGGTGTTGCGGGTGTCCATGGGCGGCGCTGATCGCTTACCATCAGGTGATCCATCTGCTCGTTTGCCTCCTATACCATAAAAAAACTACGATAAGTACATTACAATTTAAACCATAAACATTAAATGGACTAGAATTCTAAATACATCGTAAGATAGCTACTACTAGTGTTGTTAAACAGAAACTCGAACAATTTACACGACTGTGTCTCTGAAAGTGGGAACATAACGGAAAGTACTCAAACCGTACATCGACTACATGATACTCCAGTTAATTACAACTGCTTTCACTTTAAGCTGAAGGAACGATTTATTTATTTCTCTTTTCGTGATTAAGCCTAATTGCCTAATTAATATTGAAAACATAAATATCTTTATAGAAACTAGGAGCCAGTTTTTTCTTAGCAATTTTTATAGCTAATAAATAGTTGAGATCGTGATTTTCGCTCTCTTCAAGGTTTGATCCTATTAGTACTGAGTGAATATTAGACTACGAAGTAAATGCTATCATATCGCTTATGTACTAGTAAGTCTTAGTTCAAATCTTCCATAAATCTGTTTCTGATGATCTGTTTAAAGATAACATAACATAACATAACATAACGCCTTTTATCCTCGAAGGAGTAAGCAGAGGTGCACGCTATGCCACTGTACGATGTAACACCCGCTTTTCACTATTTATTTTATGAGTTCCATGTAATAGGGGTGAGCCTATAGCCTATAGCCTATTGCCATATACCGGGCACAATTCCAGACTCCATGCTAGTACTGAGATTTTTTGTAAACCCCCAGTTATACTTTACCCGACCCGGGAATCCAACGCGAGACCCCTTGCTCTGCAGTCGCACTTGCGACCACTCGGCCAACGAAGCGGGCTGTTTAAAGATGTCTCAAAGTAATGGAGATAGTAATCTACATTATAGCCACTTATGAAAATGAATAACCTAGAAGAGTATTTTTGACTCGAATTCGGTATAAGAAGTCTGAAACGATGCCACTATACTATACTATACTCATATCACCACCAAACTCAAAGGGGATTAGCTTGTGTAACTATGACAAAAGCCAAAACTATAAACCAAGGTCGGTATCGAGGTTAAAAAACATTCAAAGTAACTAATGACAATTCTTCCAAAAGGAAAGTCGTGGCTATCAACCACAATAAAAATGTCTGGAACCAAAATGTTATTTCCTTGCGAATTGTCAACAAAATAAGGACGTCCTGAGTCCTGAGACGTATAACGTACAGTGCACCGTCACGTCAGAAGGACGGATTGTTGTAGACAAAATAATCCCAGGGTGGGCGCGATCAATCTTCATACGTGAAGCCAAATTAAACTGGGAGCTCGTCTCGTACTGAGTGTGTACTGATGGCATAAAAATTGCAAATGTTTGTTTGTTTTTCAGATTAGTGATAATTTTAACAAAATTACAATGCAATGAAAATCAATGTGCGGTTTTATTTATTTATTTAGTCTTTAATGTACACAATTTGATTATGGCACAAAGGGCGAACTTAATGCCATATGGCATTCTCTACCAGTCAACCTAAGGGTTTAAGTAGAAAATCTACGAAAAATAAGGTACGAAGAATAAACTAACAGCAAAGAGAGACAGAGAGAGAATGAGCTTTTATACATTTACGACCCTAATCTCAAAATTATTGCATTTTACTGACAAGCAACTCGCAAGAAAAGAGACAATGGTCTTGTGTGATATTTCTTTTTATTTTATGAAAAACTTATCCATCAAAACTCGACACTGTATTATGCTATAAACTTAACATCTTACCCTAAACAACTTTATCGAACCTTGCAGGGTTCATAGGTGCAGCAAAGAGATGTTAACTTCAAGTATCGTTCGAAGGTCGTATACATGACAGTACCCAGCAACCAGTAGAGGTCGCTTTCGTACACGACCCGCGATCATAGAAACAACATATTTCCCCACTTATTTACGTATAATATGGGCAAAAGCTGTGATTTAGGTGTCAGACGTGTCCGTTAAACTATTAGGAGTTTAATATCAAAATTCAACACGCTGCGACTTTAGTGCGTTGTTTTGGATAAAAGGTCTGACTGTACTTTATGTTTACTGTTTATTGAAATTCTAAGTTTAAGACTAATGAAATATGTCGTATTATGATGACAGTAGATCATTAAAAAGAAAGACTGCTAAATGAACCCTTTGAAAATGCCTTGCAAATACGGACACGACAAACTTATTGATTCTAATCCGAATCCTCATAAAGTCAAACCAATTAAAAAATCCTGTAAGATCAGAATCTGTCAAAAGTAAAACAGGGACACGAAAATATAAAACACAATCGTCATCTTGATTTTTCTGCCAACGCTTCACAGCGCGCACCCGCATTTCAACGGCAATCTTCGTATTGATATAGTTAGCGGTCGTTTGCGTGACCTTGTGGCCAGGACACAATTAGAAGTGTTCCGCCACGACGCAGGAACACTGGACGTCAGGCACGTGCTACCTGGAGACACAGAGACACGCCATCCTTGACTGCATCCTTATCAACTGAGACTGATTGAATGCGACCGAGGAACTTTCGCGCCATCAACTGATTCATTCGAAATTGGAAGCGAATTGATTTAACAGTACCAATTTTTTATTGGCTGGTTAGAGTTTTATGTCGTAGATAACATAGTCGTTCATTTAAAATTCGACTTTATTAATTTATAATTTTATTGGCCAGTTACATTTTTAAAGGTTTTGCTACCATCTCGGCACACTTTTGTTTTGTATTAGTTTTTAATGGCGTGTTTAAAATGTTAAGTGAAAAGTGCGTAAATTATTTTTTAATGTTTCCCTGTCACCTATTGATAAAATAACTCAGATTACTTAATTTACGACTGAAACTCAATTTTAATGGTCGTAAATGAACATGTATCCATTACGTGGGTTAATAGTTTTCGGTTGTATTAGTTAATGAGTACACAACTGGTGTTGGTAATACTATCACAGACAGAAGAGTTAGAGTCTGTACCATTTGCGTCAATACTAAAACAAATAAGTTTACGAACAAACTGACTTAATCTGCAAACCGGCCTATAATTAGTTTCTAAACCTTCAATATCTCTACATAATAAATACTGTTAAGTGTTTATCGTAAAAATAATTTTCCCGAGGCGATGGTACACCAGTACACGACTAAAATAATAGATGAGAGGTGCTTAAAATCATGTTCTTCAAGTTTTGCTCGATCATAAAACGCCCCTAAGAGCCTCTAGCGTAAAAAGGAAATTGCGTTTCTATCGTAAATGATAATTACTGTTATGAAGTAAATGCCAAGTAACCTGATTTCTAAATCGTATCCTGCGTTCATTAACATTTCGTTGGACTGAATTTGTGGCTGACCTGATGGGCGAGTCATTGCACTCGGAAGTACAATAGCTATCGCATGACTCGATATCAATTAACGTTCTCGATAAGTGTTTTAACCATTTCAAAGTTCTACTTTGAAACTGGAGCGCGAGATTTTGAATGTGATGGTATCGTTAGTGCAAAAACTGCTTAGGTACGTAGATACAAACGCTTACAAACTTTTTTGGAGAAGTATTCAATAAATCGATACATCAATCGATTACACAATCGGTACGATACCGATAAATCGATTTATCGGTGTGATAAACAACAAATTATGATAATCAAGTGCACTTCGTGACACAATATCAACTGCAAAAAACCTATGTCACTCTCCAACCTTAACTTTTACATACAAAATCACGACTATCCATTGCTCTGATTTAATGTGAAACAAGGACAAACAAACACATTCACCTTTAAAGTAGGTACAGATATTAACACCTATGAGTCATCTTATATCTTTTACTTTTTATAACATTATACAGCTGGTAACCCTGACCTGTTGTTCGTGAGCTAATATCTGCATATAAACAACACAATTTATCGCATATATTACACTCATTGTAAAGTATAAAATGATGTCATTGGGTTTTTTAATTTAACAATTCTGAGAGGTAGAATAGGAAAGAAGCTGGAACTCAATGTCTCTATCCAATGAAAAAGGTTACTCTGTGGTAAGGAAAAAAATACTCTAAATGTTCGCTTTTTATTTCCATGACTGCACGGTTGGTGCGGTGGCTGGTCAACCGGCTGCCGTGCAACGTGTCGCGGTTTCGATTCCCGCACGGAACAACAATTGTGTGATCCACAAATTGTTGTTTCGGGTCTGGGTGTCATGTGTATGTAAACTTGTATATTTGTAAACGCACCCACGACACAGAAGATAATCCTAGTGTGGGGCAACGTTTTTTTAAACATTTTAGTATTTTAGTTTAATATTATCATTTAAGGGATGGAGGCACGAGCAGACGTGTCGTAGCGCCGTCCATGAACTGAACACCAATAACACAATAAGAATACCTCATTCACACAACGATACAAAATGTATTTCACGTCGATTTACTGTTAAGGCTATGGCATAGCTCCGATTGAGCATCACTCCATTTGTACCGAACCATAGATCTCCTACTTGAGAATTAAGTATTTTAAAATTTTGAATTTTTTGTTATATAACGTTGCCCCACCCACATTAGGATTTCATCCTGTGTCGTAGGAGCATTTACAAACATACAATTTCACATGCACACTCTCTGTGACTCTCACTTTTCCTCAGTCTCACCTATCTACATGTCGTAGTGGCCCGGAAGTTTAAGACGCCCGCTTCTCATGCATGAGGGTGTCGGTTCGAAATCTATCAACGGCAAGTAGCAATGTGACTTTTTCCGAGTTATATGTAAGATTATCCAGACACCACTGACAAACGGTGAAGGCAAGGAAAACATCGTGAGGAAACCTGGACTTATAATTTCGAATTATAACTTTGTAATCGCCAACCCGCGTTGAGCAAGCGTGGTGATTAATGCTCAAAACCTTCTCCGTGTGAGAAGAGGCTTTGCTTAGCAGTGAGCATTTATAGGCTGCTGATGAACCGATCTATAATAGTATCCGTTTTTTTTCAAGGGGGGAAAATCATCGAATGACTGCTCCCGCCTGGGTGAGGCGAGAGGGTGTGTCAGACTCTTACTGACTAAAAACCACCCCGTTCCTTCTCCTGCACGTCGAGCCGGAGCCCCGGTAACCCGTTAGGTTCTCCACGACAATAGTATCAGTACCTCGATGGTGTATTGTATTTACACACATGTCTACGACACATACAGAGTTATAAGTACCTAGATTTATCAGCACTTAATGCAAAGGAGGGCAAACACCTGTGTTATCAAAACGGGGTCGCTTGCTCCAAACGAGCGGAAAACTATTTATCTAGTAAACAAGTAAGAGTAACTATTAATGTAATAACTGTTACTTTTCTTGTATCTATGATTGTAACACTTTGATAACAGATATTCGTCTAGCCGAAAAGTAAACGTACTAGGAATAAGAAAATGGGAGAAGAAAAATAGTTTTCTCTCGTTGTTTTCCTTGGTCTGTTGTTTGTTATGTTTTGAGGTCAACGGTGGAATAAAAAGGGAAACTGATTGTGTATCAAAAACTAATCTACTATATAAAAATAAGTCGAGTTTTCCTTCCTGACGCTATAACTCCAGAACGCACGAACCGATTTCCACGGTTTTGCATTTGTTGGAAAGGTCTCGGGCTCCGTGAGGTTTATAGCAAAGAATGTTACATAAAACGAAGCCATCTGGTGGCGAAACGGAGTTTGCCGAGTTTGCTAGTATTATAATATTTATAGATCTTGATAAGGGATTAAAGAATGGAGAAACAACTAATAAACAGTACTGCAAAACGTTTTTCTTTGAAATCAATAATTAAACACTTAGGTACTTATAGGTACATATACACTAGGTACATACTTAGGACACATGAAAGGCACTGCGCAGAAAACTAAGTTACCTATATTTTAGGTCGAACAATACTTTCATAATCCATAGATAAAGCACACATTAAAGCCTTTATCGGGCGCAAGTTGATTTATTGCACACATGTGTAACAAGCTTTATTTAACCCCATTGTGATATCGATATAACCTATTTATACATATTATTGACTTATGAAATGTAACTTATAAGTAGTTCAATTGAAGCTGTAACTTAAACCTACGACTTTCGATTGCAACTAATCGGATCTATCTACTAATCTAAAATCGGAGGTGAGCCTAAGAAATAAGAAATAAGATTTTTTTGCACGAAGTATGGTAATTACAGGTGATAATGATTATAAAAAATAGTCACACATACATACATCGCCTACTGTTTTCGGCATGCAAGTTATTATTTGCTATCCACCGCACACAATTCCAGAAACCGTGCTTTGGCTAAGAATTTTTTTAAATACGCAAAATGAATCCCGAAACGAGACTCCTTGCCCGAATACCAGGCAGTTTACATAATGTAAGTAAAACTTACAACCTCATTTAAAAGAGAAACTATAACTCCTTGATAACTCATACCCGCGACTTCGTCCGCGTGAAATAGCGACGTCTGTATAAATTTTGATTTTTATTGGTTAAAATGTCCAAATTTAACGTGGAAACGGCATTTACTGAGTTATCGAAGAAGCTAACAACATTGACATCTAAAATTAGTGCTCAATCTGCCACCATAGAAGCACAAAATAAGAAAATAGATGACCAGCAAAGGTTGATTGAAAAATGTTCGATTACAATAAATGAACAAAATAAGGTAATCGAAGATTTGTCTACAAAAATTAATGCATTTCTTGAGTCAAAATGCAACCCGAAGAGCGAAACAGAAACTTGGCCCAAACTGGTGCGAGGGAGCGAGATCAATATAGTGCCTGATGATGCGATGTCAACAGTAGCAAATGTGACGGAACGCGCCCGGCGTGCGGAGGAGCGGGCCAAGAAAAATAAGGACGCGGCTATACTGCATAGGCGACAGCGGGTTAAAGAAATCGATGAAAAGTCTAATGCAATTATTGATATCAATAATTCTAGCAATGCAGAGGAGGAATGGAAAGAGGTAACCAGTAAAAAGAAAAAATCTAAGGCCTACCCTAAAGGCATCAGTAAGGGAGGGAATACGCAAATTTCGTCAATTCAAGCGATTGAGAAGAAGAAATTTTTGCATGTCTGGTCACTTCATATTGATACGTCTGAGGACACTATTATTGAACACGTGACTAAAGTATGTGATTCAAAGGATGTGAAGGTGGAAAAAATTATTCCAAAAACTAAAAGAGACTATTCGTCATTTATGGTGGGAGTCCCTGAATCAAAATTTGAATTAATAAATAACTCTAAAAATTGGCCGTTGAATACTCGTTTTAATGAGTGGGTGTGGTTTCGGAACTACCCAAACAAATCTGAAATTAACAAAAATGTCCAATAATGTCTTAAAATTATTTTATCAAAATGTGAGAGGATTAAGGACCAAAACACAAACTTTTAATAACAATTTGGCAGCATCGAACTATGACATCGTGGCCATAACTGAGACAGGCCTTAATTCGTCAATGCATGATGGGGAATTAATCCCGCCTGGATTTAACGTGCTTCGGTGTGATCGGATGGACGGAAGAAAACAGGGAGGAGTGTTGTTGGCGGTTAGATCGAGGTTTCAACTTGCACGGCTTCCCGCTGACAATGTGGACACCGCCTTATTCGAACTTGTGTGCGCGACAGTGAATTCTCGGAATAACAACTGTTTATTTTTATGTTGTGTTGTATATATTCCTCCTAAGTGTGATGCTGAACAATATATGCACTTGTTCCGTATTTTAGAAACCATTTGCATTAAATATGAGAAAGTGGTGGTGATCGGTGATTTCAATATGCCTTCGGCAACTTTGGAGGTAAACAGTTATTTTGAATATATGAGCGCTTTCTGTGGATTTCAACAGGTAAATGAGATTGTTAATATTAATAACTGTAAGTTAGACCTACTATTGACAACACTTTTGCCCGGCGACATAAAGGTACATTTAGCTGACGAGTCATTAGTGAGTGTAGACGTGCAACATCCACCATTAATTGTGACCTTATGTTTTAATGGACCTTTTGGAGGGTCGTCATCATCGCAGACTTCTTTCGACAGTAGTCAACACAATGATAACCATTCAATGTGGAATTTTAAAAAAGCAAACCTTTGTCAACTGTATCATGATTTACAATTGATGAATTGGGATTTGATTTATGACACACAAAGTTCAAACTTAGCATTAAATTATTTTTATGACATAGTTAACAATTGTATTAATTTATGCGTTCCTAGGAAAAATGCCAGTAAATCGTACAAAAATAAGAGGACTTATCCCGAATGGTACACGTCGGATATAATAAAGGATATTAGGACAAAATGGAGACATCACAAATTATTTAAAATTACGTCATCTTTAAGTGATTACGAAGCGTTTTCTCGTTACCGGTCAATAGTGAAACGTAAAATATCAGCTGCATATCAGGAGTATCAACACAAGTTGCAAATAAATTTTAAGGACGATCCAAGGTCATTTTGGACATTTGTTCGAACTAAACAAATGCGTAGGAATAAACCCAAGATAACCAAGGACAATTTAGTGATTACGGAGGAAGAATCTGCGGAATGTTTTGCTACATATTTCCACTCGGTATATAGTAAAAAGCGACCAGCGCTTGATACTCATGCGGCGGAGCGAGCTGCGAGAGGTGGTTGCGCGGGTGCGGACTCTGCACGCGTACACATTGACTGTCTTACCAGGAGAGATTTATGTACGGCTTTTCAGCGACTTAAGCCTAAGTACTCAGTGGGTCCAGATGGAATACCACCATTCGTAGTGAAAGACTGTAGTTCTGTTTTTCTGAAACCGTTGCTACACATTTTTAATTTGTGTTTGAGTGAAGGCTGCTATCCGGATTGCTGGAAAATAACACGAGTAATTCCGGTTCCAAAGGGAGGTCAAGGGTCAGATATCGAAGGATATCGCCCGGTAGCAGTGTTATCGGCCTTTGCTAAGATTTTTGAGTCTATTTTACAAAAACGGATTCACTCACAGGTTGGTCAAACATTGTCCGAGGCTCAACACGGTTTCCGGGTGGCACGTGGGACGGGGAGTAACCTTCTCTCTTTTATGTCATACGTGACGCCAGCTGTAGACGCCGGTGGGCAGGTAGACGTCGCTTATTTTGATTTCAGGAAAGCATTTGATACAGTAAACAACGATATTTTACTTGCGAAATTGTCCAAAATAGGTTTCACGCCTCATTTTTTAAGTTTTTTGCAAGCTATCTGGGGGATCGTCGCCAGTTTGTGGAGTACGCAGGGCGAAGGTCTAAACCGTATTATACATACTCGGGCGTCAGTCAAGGGAGTAATCTTGGTCCACTGGAGTTTTTAATTATGGTTAATGATCTCCCTGAGGTCGTGCGCAGTGCGCGGTGCTTGCTATTCGCGGATGACCTAAAGGTATTTCTGCAGGTCGAGGACTCCGTGGGCTGTGCTCGGCTTCAGCGAGATCTGGATCAAGTAGTACAATGGAGCCGGGATAATGAGCTGTATTTTAACGTGGCCAAATGTTGTGTGATGTCGTACACTCGCGCCCACTCCTCAATTTGCTATCAGTATCAAATAGATGGTGCAATAATGCAACGTGTCTCAAACGTCCGAGATCTAGGGGTTCACATGGTAACCGAGTTAACGTTTCGCAAACACGTCACGGATCTATGTAGCAAATCTTTTAGACATTTAGGGTTTATATTGAGACAGGGTCACGATTTTAAAAATATAGCGGTACTTAAAATTCTATATAATGCATTGGTTAGAAGCCATCTTGAAACTTGTGCTATTATTTGGAATCCACATGAGGACAAATACATTAAGATGTTGGAAAAAATACAGAACAAGTTCACAAGATTTTTGTATTTGAAATTGTATGGGATTTATCCATTTTTCCCATTGATGTACCCAAGTTTATTCGTCCTGGGGACAGTTGGGTACAATACACTAGAGGTGCGGAGAGATGTGGCGCTAGTTAAATATATAGCCAGGGTACTACGAGGATTGGTCCATCACCCGGAAGTGCTGGAGATGTTGGGATTGCGTGTGCCAGACGGATACGTGGGGCTCGTCGCCGCCCCGCCCTGTTGGAGGTGCCAAGGGCTAGAACTAATCTTCTTAAATATGCTCCTATTTCGCGTGCGGTTCGGATTATAAATAGTGTACCGGAACATGATTTGTTCCACAACCTACCAAGGTTTATTGAAGCAGTACAAAGGTATATTGAATATCACCGTATTGAGTAATTGTGTCTATATGGTTATAATATGTATGCCATACTGAGAGTATGTAACTCTAATAATTAAGGTAAAATTTTTATTAATTAAGTTACATGTTGGACTTAAATGTGTCAGGAAATGTGATATTGTATTGGAATAAACTGTAAGATGTCATATTGTAAGGTGTTGTAATAATAAATAAATAAATAAATAAATTATTACGTAAAAAAAAAAAAAAAAAAAAAACTCGTTGATATCAATTTATCTTTTGTACGGACAAAAATAATGGCTTTGTTACATCACAGTCCAATTAGTACTATCTTATGTGATATATCGAATAATGACAATAACGAATTACATCTAGAAATGCACAGCAGACTTCCTGCTTCTCATTAAGAGTTAATATCGACAGACAGAGACTACCTCCTGTTTAATGATTAATGATAATGATGTCTGGCACTATTCTTTAGAGTTTAAACTATTGTACCTAATGGTCTAATAGTCTCTAGCCTGTGGGCATTTCACCCCACCACTGTTCATTGTCTAACTTTTGCAGTATGATTTATTGTTCTAGGAAAATGAAAGAAAGCATGAAGCTGTCGAAGAAGATCCAATGGCAAGTAATCTTATAATTAAGCCAACTTTTTATTAGGTATCCCAAGTTGTGTTTATTCCAATGGCAACAAACGCTGAGGTTGAACCGAAAAGTTCAAGGAAAATCCTAATCCTGATAATAGATAAATACTTTAATGGAGTTCTCGGTAGCTAAACCTAAGACTGCTTGACCACGACAGAACTGAAATAAAACATGTAAAACATAAGACGAAAACGCATATAAGGTGCAAAACTTCTATAAATTAGGTCGACGACACATACGAAACTAGGTCATTTCTTCTAAATACAATTAACCTCAGTGGAATTGAGGTGGCTAATAATTGCGGTATCTGTTCCGAGTAATAACAATCCCATTGTCCAGTTACTGTAACCGTAAGATTATAAGACGAGAATCGTCTGAGAAAGTAGGCCTGTCATTGACTTTGAGCGACTAGACCGCTTGTAGACGGTGACGGGGAAAACAAAAAACGATCACGTCTCACCGATGACTTTTCTTACATCAGAAATTACATATCCATTGCTGCTGTGCTAACTAACTTGGTTAACAGTTATCTTGTTAGGACGGCAATGTATGTGGTGTAAAGTATTTTGAACTTTATTAGCTCCAAATGTTGGCATGCAGTAGTGAAGGTCGTTTTTGTGTTGTTACAAAAACTCCTATCACAAACTTGTATCTTGCTAAGCGTTACAATAGATTACAATAATTACAATTTTGTCTTCGTACCAAAGATAAAAAGACTTGGTTTATTCAAAAGAGCAAGATGAATACTTTAGTGGGAAGTGTTTTAATTATTTTGCAAGCAGTTTGAAGTGCTTCACTTAGTATTATATTATTTAACCTTAATTGTAATTATGCTTAACAGATGAGGAAAATAGTTGAATTGATTTTTGTCTATGTACCGGTATAACCAATTAAACTAAGAGTGCAGGCATAGTATGACAAATAATATACATAATTTTGTACCAATAAGTATTTCATTCATATTCTTCTATCACACTTTTGCATACAAAAAATCGGTTTTAATTGTGGGAGAGCCATGATTCAGCATAAATGGGCCGGCTCGACCGGAGTGATACCATGGCGTCACAGAAAACCGACGTGAAACTTGCGTCGTGTTTCATCGTGTGAGTGAGGTTACCACAGAACCAATTCTCCCCAATATTTGAATTCCCAACAATCCTCATATTCCTTGTCCTCTGCCAATGCCTCTGATGTTCCGGGTGTCCATGGGCGGCACCTATTGCTTACCAGGTGCAAGTCATTATAAACAAAACTTACAACACACGATTCATAAAAGCTACTTCATTTTAAATGTAAACATAAAACTGATAGGAATATTGAAAGCGATAAGGTTTGACGGTCGTGCTCATGCGCACTGCATTTATCACGTTAGCGGCGCTTGCGCTCATGTGAAATGGGGCGCTGCTTACTCAACCAATACTGTACCGTACTAGAAGGCGAAGCTATAGACATAAACTAACTTAGTGCTGTAAAGTAGAAAAATAGTTCTATGATAAGCCAAGCATATATTATGGCCAAAAACATCTAGAATTACAGTTTAATGATTTAACGTATTATTTGTTTTATTTGTACGCTGTTAGAATTCATGATCTTATTGTTTACCACATTTTTTTATAATAGTTAATGATTTTTCAAAAGACCTTATAAGGTCGCTGAAAGTATTCTAGCAATCAATTCGAACTATTAAACTGAGCTCGATCGCATTCTCACCCGTCATTGGTCGAGATTATTATCACAATCAATGACATGGCGGACCGTGATCGAATTCACTTCATTTTACGAATTGAAAGTTACAGAATAGCCCTAGCTGTTCTAAAACGCAAATACAAAAGCCCAGAGGCCTTAGCACGAGTTTGTTTTACGTTTAAAGTAATTGTAACGAGTACGCGGTCGGAGCTCTGATTGGCCAGCTCCCATTAAACAACCAATCAAATTCAAATTTTTACTTCATAATCATGTGTACAATAGGTATTACACAATGTAGTACAGTTTTAACATGAAACCCGGTTAGGGCACGGCAACGTATAGAGCAAAATGTAATCTAATTAAATTACTTATAATATTATCACATAAAAAAGTTATTATTTTTATTTTAAATTATTAAAACTTATCCTTAAATTCATTATAACCTGTATGTATTTATATTTATGTTAATTGTATGTAGTTTTGTTGATTATATTGATTATCATAGGCCTTAGTACGAGTTTCTTTTACGTTTAAAGTACTCGTAACGAGTACGCGTTCGGAGCTGTGATTGGCCGGCCCCAATGAACAAGCCAATCAGGGTACAGGACGCCGTCTCGTTTTGATTTTTTTATACGTAAAAGAAGCTCGTACTAAGCCCTCTGAATAGCATTACTCTAGCTCACCATACAACACAAGCCTTCAAAGCCAATATCAGAGGTGTTGCATCACATAGGAAAAGTGAACGCTCTCGACCAACCACCCGTTGTGATAACTGATTTTATAAATATCGGAACAGAATCACTTCGCACTTCACGAAATTGTGATAATTAAAATTAATTCAACGGAAATTCGTATACGAATAACTAATGAAGGAAATTATGAAATAAGCAGGCGTGGTACCTTTTACCATTAGTTTTACTCGCATCGTACAAAACTGTATTTTTTTGTAAATTCCTATGTATTTCCTTACTAAATATTGTAGGTACTGGCAAGAATACCATCTTAAAATAGTTTAGTTTTTTGTGTGCCAAAATTGTCTGTGCAAAATTGCACTGATCTGTAACTTAGAGTAAATATGTAGAACCAATGTCTTTACCATTTTGTCGTTTTATAAAGGATGATAACATAATACAACATCACGCTTTTTGTCCCCGAAGCGGTAGGCAGAGGTTTGAGAATGTAACACCCACTTTTCACTATACCTATATGTTATGAGTCCCATGTAATAGGGGGTGAGCCTATAGCCATATACCAGGCACAATTCCAGACTCTGTGCTACTACCTACTGAGATTTTTTAAAACCCAGTAATACTTTAGCCGACCCGGGAATCGATCGATACCCATTGTCTGGCAGTCGCACTTGCGATCGTTCAGCCAACGAGGCAGTCATATAGAGGTAAAGTAGGATATTTAATAAAACTCAACAACTATTAATTATATGAGCATTAATCAAAAGTTCCTAATAGTTTCATTGCTTTAACCAGTAACTTTCACAGTTGCAAAAAATACTACTCGTTACACAGCTATACTTATCAATCAAACTACAACACCCATTGATAAATGTACCAGATTAATTAATTACGCATAAATATTGTAGACTGAATGATATTAATGGGTTTTTGATTAAAAAATTGACGGCCATTTTAAATCGATTTCAATTACTTTCACGGTAAATTATGTGGGTGAGAGACCATACATCGTTCTTTTTCAGTTTCTGGGTGACCGAACTCTTCTTCTTCATTAGGCTTTCTGGAACATATTGAAGTCTTTTTCAAGAGTTTTACTTACATTGTATTTTGTAGTTTTATTCTGATAATATAGTAAGTCTCCTTCAGTAGTTTCATAGTATTCTTTGGTTGCAATTCGGATCAGAATTTCATAACATAGTCTTTCCAATTCGTTTGTGACTCTCTTCAAGATTGATGGGAAGCGGCCCCTTATGTGGAATTGTAGAATCAACAATGATCTCCAAATGGGAAGACTTTTCATTTTACTTCTTTCTAGCCCATTTTTACTACTTAAACTACAAATGCTTATTAACCCGTCGAGCTTCCGCGTTCCTTATGATCCAACGGGTGCACACGTGACATTTGGAGCATTTTTTCTTATGATCCACCGGGTGCTCATAAGGACGCTCGAGGGGTTAAACTGACCACATAACAAGTTTTCAAAACTATTTTCGAGGACATGACGCCAAATGGGTACTGTTCGGTTCATACAATTTGGTGTATAACTTTGTTTCCTAGTCATATTTTACAGTTGAACAACACCTATAAATGTACAAAGTGTTAGAGTTGATTTATTATTGTGTTTCGAGGAAATCTAGTGACAATTTTGTTTAAACTGTATTTGCTTGAGAAAATATGTCTCCGTAACTGGAAATGTTGAATAGTTATACACACAGAAATCTTTGAGTTTCTTCTTCAGAAATGTTAAAAGAACTTGACCTTCTTTATTACATCTATGGTTACACATGATTAAAAACGTATTTTGTAATGAAACTTTACTGAATCATGACATCACGCCTTTATATTATACCACTGTACAATGTAACACCCACTTTTCACTATTTATGTTATGAGTCCCATGTAATAGGGAGTGAGATATACTGAATCATATCTACTAAATTTATTAAATTACATCATACTTATATTATAAATACGAAACTGTGTGAGTTTGTGTGTTTGTTACACAATCACGTCTAAACGGGTCGGGATGAAATTTGGAAGACGGATAGGTTATGGTCTTGAATAACACATAGGCTACTTTTCCTACGGTAACGCGAGCGAAGCCGGGTGGAAGCTGGTATCTATAGACCATCTTTTCAGCGACAACAAAATATTTGAATTGACTAGAAGAGGTGGACTTTCTTTTATAGAAGCAGTGTTCCAAATGACTGCCTCGTTGGCCGAGTGGTCGCAATTGCGACTGCCGGGTTCGATTCCCGGGTCGGGCAAAGTATTACTGGGTTTTTAAAAAAATATCAGTAGTAGCACGGAGTCTGGAACTGTGACCGGTATATGGCAATAGGCTCACCCCCTATTACATGGGACTCATAACATAAATAGTGAAGTGGGTGTTACATTGTACAGTGGTATAATGTGCACCTCTGCCTACCCCTTCGAGGATAAAAGGCGTGATGTTATGTTCCAAATCAATATAATAATATTTTAAGTTTCAAGTTACGTTCTTAGGACAAAATTAAATCATTCATAACACCCATTATATATGGTAAGATCAATATAATGTCAATGATATCAAATTTCTAACATTCGATTCAATCTCTTCGATTCCATTTAATAGACAGTTATTATGATATCTACGCCAAGCATTAGTGCTGCCCCAAAACATTTTCTTTCAGTAATATCAACCTAATTACTCAAGTAATAAGGCTGTAGTTACATGTATTACTTATTTACTGGTTTGTATAGGTTTTGAAGTGACAAATGAGTGCTCATCTCCACGCGGGAGGTCCGTGCCATCGTATGATGCTACGATTTATCATGTAATTTCACTTTATATAGAAACTTCATATTTTCTAAATCGTGACTATGTCTGTACATTCGTACTAGACTGATATAATGTAGACATACTAACCTTTCTCCTGGAATTTCCACTAGTATAAAATGTCATGTGCTCAAAGGCTTAGGCATGTTTTAATCGTATTCACAGTCACGAATTGATGCAGATGGCAGATGGATTGTTTTAAAAATAGGTTTAACTGCCTTTTTGTCGTAATTTAGGCAAGCTTTTCTAGTACTTTCTAGGTATCTTTACCATGCTTTTTTACTCTACGTAAAAACTTAATTAAAGTCTATACAATTGTATATTAATTCGTGCATAGTGCTGTCAGTTCCTTAGCAATGTTTATGTATTAACATTATTATGAGTCTCTTTGAGATAAGTAGTATCAAGATTTCTATATTGACTGCCTCGTTGGCCAAGTGCGACTGCCGGGCAAAGGGTCTCAACTTATCAAAGTATCGTCCCGGGTCGGGCAAAGTATTATAGGGTTTTTTTTTAATTATCTGTGCCCGGTATATGGCAATAGGCTCACCCCCTACATGGGACTCATAATATAAATAGTGAAAAGTGGGTGTTACATTGTACAGTGGCATAATGTGTACCTCTGCTACAATCTACCCCTTCAAAGATAAAAGGCGTGATGTTATATTATGTTGAAATCCTCTCGGGAGTATCTATCAATAGACAATATCTTTCTTTACATAGAAAGCTACGCTATCTCCAAACGTGGCTAGCAAGAACATTCAAAGAAACACATCGTTATAAGTTGTAGTAACTTGAATACAAATAGAACCAATACAGTGTGGGAATCTAGTTCATTGGTAGCAATAATAAATCAGGATCAAGTTATCTGTTACATTTCAATCCAGTTGCGGTAATGCAGTGAAGTAACTAATTTAGTGGTTGCGAGATATATGAGTACAATACTCATTTGGTGTATAAGGTCTGGCGAAATATCTAGTCTAGAATAAGTGTACTTACAATAGGGTAGATGCCTAATTTTTATTTTAATGTCCGTCTGGTAGATTATTTTAAATTAATAGACACGTTTTTTTTATTTTCTTACAGAAACAAATACATTCGACGATGTATTGATTGGAAATGTCGCGTGACGTCATTTCTATGTACATTTTAGACGTAGAAATGACGTTTTAGCCCCCACCCCTAAACTTTGATTCGTTTGATCTAAGTATTGTTTTATTATACGACTAAATAAAAAAATACGTGTCTAATATTTTTTCATTACCTAACTTACGGACTAATTATATTTTAGATTTTCATCATCCCAATTGTTTCGTGTCTATTTGTTTTAGTCTAATACGTGGCAGAGCTGTAATAAAGACTTAGAATGACTTTTGACGATTACTATTTTTGTAGATGATGTTTTTTTAAAGAGCCTCTCTTCCTAGATCATTGTTTCGATTCAATTTTTATAATACATTAATAATAACAAATAATCATTTCATTTCAATGTCCTGAGATGAAGTTTTAAGATGCTCTCGGTATCTAGTTATCTACTGCAGACATCTGAGATGACCTTTCATTGTATTTATTAATTTTTACTTGTCAGTACTTTTTATGAATGATATAGGAAGATACGTTAAAAAAAAGAAATTGAAAACAAAATTTGGTAATGCTCAATAAGTGCAGCAAGTGAATAAACTATCTAGACTCTTGCTCACGTCGCGGAGAACATAACGGGTTACCGGGGTTCCGGCTCGATGTGCAGGAGAAGGAACGGGGTGGTTTTTAGTCAGTAAGAGTCTGACACTCCCTCCCGACTCACCCAGGCGGGAGCAGTCATTCGATGATTTTTCCACCCTGAAAAAAAAAGACTATTGCTCACATTTACGAAGATCACATTACAGCAATACACGCAACAGTTGGATAATACAATACCTCGTAATAATCATAATAAGCAATACAAATTCTAATTCTAGTACTAAAATCTGTAACCGGGACATTGACAACTATGACCACACTTCAGATTATCTAGGCAAAATAGTTCTGGCGAGACGCCAACACGATCATGCAAATTACAGCAATAAAATTACCGTCTATTGGAGAATTATAGGCTGTAGTATTAGGGTTATAAGGGTGAGATTTGTTTGGTTGGTGTGAGATGGGGTGTTAAAATATCGTGGTTGGTGGTAACCTGATGACGGCGCGATCGGCAACCGTATCGAGTGTCGTTCCGGTCCGGCGCTTGCCTTCGTCTCGACCTGGCTACTCGGTGTGAACGGAACCTATGTCCTGGTCACGCACTAGGCACTAAGCACGCTGCTTTTTACACTAATGTTGCATATAGAGAGAAAAAGCAATTGAATATTATAGGTTTATACTGTTCCTAATCTTTATAAAAAGATTCAGCTCTTGTATTGTCTAGTCACATCATTACATGATCGTCATTTTTATCGGATAATACATAACATAACATCACGCCTTTTATCCCCGAAAGGGTAGGCAGAGGTGCACATTACGGCATTTAATGCCACTGTAATGTAACACCCACTTTTCACTATTTATGTTATGAGTCCCATGTAATAGGGGGTGAGCCTATTGCCATATACTGGGCACAGTTCCAGACTCCGTGCTACCACTGAGAAAAACCCAGTAATACTTTGCCCGACCCGGGAATCGAACCCGAGACCCCTTGCCCGGCAGTCGCACTTGCGACCACTCGGCCAATGAGGCAGTCAGTTTTATCGGATAATCTTTCACATTAATGAAAATTATAATTATAAATAAGAGCTACAAGAAATGTGTACCCTGTATTCTATCTATTCTACAACATTTTGTCACTGTATTTACGTTATTTATTCTACAAACAGTAGATAATTTCTCAGCAATTAAACAATAGATACATTGTGATGCGGAATATCTCAGAGGTGTCAAATCGAGGAATTGTTTCGTAGCTCCGGATGTTGTTCCAAGTTTCCTATAAAGAACAGACATTGTTGTCTTGGGAAATATAATATTTTTATCTGTTCGTGTCTCATTGCTGTCGCCCATGACCATGGCAAAGCATACTACATAGCATACTTAAACTGAAGGACGACTGTCTTTTGTTAGAAAGAGGTTAAGAAGAAACAGAGCATTTTTCATTCTCAATTATTTTTTAGTGCTGTTGATCATGAAAAGCTCGGATCGACCTCAATATTGTTTTTTTTTTATGGAATAGGAGGCAAACGAGCCTGCGGATTACCTGATGGTAAGCGATTAGCGCTGCCCATGGCAACACCAGAGGATTCATAGGTGCGTTGCCAGCTTTTTAAAAGGAATAAGCTCTTTTCTTGAAGGTTTGATATAGTTGGATCTTTTTAGATTTTGAATGCTCGATGGAAACAAGAAGTATAACCTAAGTAAGACTAGTCTCTACCACCTAGCCTAAATGTTACACCTTATAATCTTACAATGGTAAAATAGTATACTATTGGTATCCTTCTGCAGGACCTTGAGAGCAATTACTATAATTATATTGCTTTAAAAAACCTAGCGTTTTATTTACCTAGTGAGTAAGCCCGTACAGAAATTCCCTCAAGGTTTTTATATTAGACAGTAGTGTCGCATGCGCACTCGTTTATTATTACCTGCCACGTAACTGCCGAGGATGAATTCATTATCACGGAACAATTCCACTGGTAGATGTAGACATTAGAAAATACAAACAACGATATTAGTTTACAAATATCGTTTAGGTTTTTATTCCTATCTGTCTTCCCCGCTCTGCTGATTGGGATTTTTTAATTATCTATTTTATCGTAACAAAACCAAAAAGTATGGATAGTGATTACCGGAACGGCCGAACTCAACAAACCAGCAAACAAAATTTTCTGAGATTTTTTCGAGAAATTTCTTCATTCTACCTCTACATATATACATTTTTTTATGGCAAAAGCCGGTAAACGAGCAGACGGATCACCTGATGGTAAGCAATCGGCGTCGCCCATGGACACCTGGAACACCAGAGGCGTTACAAGTGCGTTACCGGCGTTTTGGAGATTAGGAGTTTGAGGATCGCTGGGGATTCAGGAATAGGGGACATTGGGGAAGGGGGGGGTAATTGGGCCTCCGGTGACCTCACTTACACGACGAACCATAACGGAAGCGTTGCTTCACGTCGGTTTTCTTTAAGGCCGTTGCATCACTCCGGTCGATGCATGGCTCTCCCACACTTATATCAAAGTAATAACTTTTACACCAGACTAAAACTGACACTAAAATAAAAAGTACTTGTGCTATTAAATATCGATTACCTAGAGATTACTATTACCACTGTTCGGTTACTGAATGATGCTCACTTTCACAATCTCTATACCACTATACTATAGGATCTAAAAGTCATTTATCAATATTTATAATATATTATATTTCTCCAAGTCTGGCGATGATCGACTAGTACCTTATAGTCTGTAGGTTCAACACCAATAGGAAAAATAATACAAAACAACTCGCATAAAATAAGAACACAGCTATTGACCCAAAATAAAATACATTACGAGAAACTTCTCGAACCAAAAAGATGGAGAGCAAGTGACATTCACTGATTCGCTCTAAGCCCGTGTGATGGATTACGGGCTTGAAGTTCTCCAAAAGGCGACGACTAGTTCCAATAGGATAAGAAAAATAAACACTTATTTTAGTCCACTAATCACACAAAAACATTAATCCTAGTCAGCATAAATTTACCATTCGAAAATGGATCTTAATAAAAGGATATAAGAGTGAAATTCTGTTGTTTATTACACGAATGATAAGTAAATAAGCAAGACAGTTAAGATTTAATTAAACCTATTTCTAAAATAGTACTCATTAAAATATTTCTGTACATAACTGTATACAGTATACATAAATAAATAAATGATTTAATACATGCAACTGTTATTCAATAACAAAATGCATAAAAAAATGATATTAGCTAAGGATATTTGCAAGAATAACCTTATCACAGTAGTCTATATAGTGGGTCGGCAGAATCAGTTCAGTAGGGTCACTCATAATAAAGCTATATAAGATACCCAGGGGGCGTATACTGAATGATGCATGTAATTACTCATACGTCATTAGGTGTATGTACGTTTTACTGTCGAAAGATAATTTTGAATTAAGAACAGGATTAAGAAGTTCTATGTACAATTGTATCTGATTATCTAGAACTCGACCGGAGTGATACCACGGCCTCACACAAAACAAGACGTGAAACAACGCTTGCGTTATCTTTCTTCGTGTTAGTGAGGTTACCTAGACCCAAATATACCCCTCCTACCCCGATCTCCCCAATCCTTGAAGCCCCAACCCTCAAATTCCTAGTCCCCAAAAGGCCGGTAGCGCACTTGAACGCCTCAAATTTTTATTTTTAAAACAACTTTTAAAAGTACCCTGATTAAAAATTTTTTATTATAGTGCTAATGAATTTCTTAGTAATAGATGTGTTTGAATGATTGAACGTAATGATAACGTAATGATTTATATTATTATTAACTATAATATGTAATTATTCTATTCTGTTTGTTTCTTATGACTTATTTCTATTGATTTTATTATTTCATTGTTATTGACATTATTAGTGCATCTTGACATTTATTTAGTTAAGCATGTTGATACAAACAATACTATAAATCTATAGTAAACATTCATTTTTGCATGTATTATTGTAACCTACATATGTTTTGGCAAATAAAACGATCTTTATCTTTATCTGGTGTTCCGGGTGTCCATGGGCGACGCCGATTGCTTAACATCGGGTGATCAGTCTGCTTGTTCTTATCCCATAAAAAACCAGAACAGAGGGTTTTAATTTTATTTGACATGTGTCTTAAAATACATAATAAATATCTAATTGTTAAATTAAAATGTGCATTTATTACGACAAAAATGCTCTACTTTTTTCTAGTAACAAATAGATGTTTTCCTAAATGGTCTACTTAAAATCCCATCCCATCTTTAAAGCCTTTTTGAAAGTGCCATACATACAAACAAATTCATCAAAATTAAACAATACACAAATGATTTCAAACAATATGCATCGGTCGTAACAAAAGACAGTTGGGTTCAAACAATAGAATGCGCTTGCGCCCATCGCGTCGGCACACACATGTTGCACATTCACACACGTGCAACGCACATTGGAAACAACAAGTGTACAATACATGCAAAAACATTGGGGTAATAAGAAACAGGTACTCAGTTTTGTTATGGGAGAACGAAATAGCACTTTTTTGTAGATACTTACTTATAAAATGTCGACAGAACTATCCAACACATAATCGACTGTTCTTTAATGTGTACAATCCATTACAGATCCACTGAAAACTTAATATTAAGTATTTAACTTAAAGGGTTGTCGGGGCTCCGGCTCGAAGAGCAGGAGTAGGAACGGAGTGGTTTTAGTCAGTTTGACACTCCCTCCCTTCTGTCTCAATGCGAGAAGTCATAGGATGATTTCCCCCCCCCCCTTTAAAAAAAAGAAGTACTTAATTGGAACTTCATAAAATACAAGTGAAAAACTACTATCACAAAGCTCTTCAAACGAAAGAGTTTATCATCAAAGAGTTACAAAGCATTACAGCATATATAATAAACCACAAACAAGAAAGTTAAACAAAATAAATCTTTATGACCTAACTAATAGATACTATAATAACAACATCATAAATGATGCAATAACCTTTGTCAACTCTCGCACATTATAATTTAATAACAAAATCACTTTCATCGCCTTTCTCTGGTGACAGAACTGATGGTACGATCTAACGGGGACCTCACATCAATCAATACTTATGAAAAAGCAGTCAGCCACTTAAATGGACAACTTTCGCGTTCACTACATAGGTACATAGGTACTACAATCGTTTGTAGTTGTAGCCAACTAATCACTCAGGGTTTAGAGCCCCTGGCAGCTTTTTGCACAGATAAAGCTGAGTTCATACCGTCAAACCAAACCGAATTACGTCACCTTTTATAAACGCTCCATTAAGTAATGCAGATTATTCGTTCCTATTCCTATCAGATAAATAAATTGTGTATTCTGAACCCAGCTTTATGTTTGGCTATTTTTTAAATGAAAGTTTATACTCTAACTAGTCTATCAATCTTGACATAATTGTATTTATAACAATAGCTATAAATAGTTGGCTATTTGTTATCAGTTAGTTATCTACAACGGTACTTAAGAGGTCGATTGTTTCTTGTTTTGATAGACAATTTTATTATATGTCACTTGACGATCTGTATCTGGTTTTTTATGAGTAGCAACTGGATGGTATTAACATTGAATGCTATAAAGTCCTTAAGGAACTATTGTAACAAGTTTGAGGGACGAAAACTTTTTTTATTTTGTTGTTCATAGTTTAAGAAGTTTCATTGTTTTGTTTTTGTATTTTAATCATGCCTGACATTTCTTTCTGTTCTTTTATTGAAAATTTTATTCGAAATCTCCACAGAACATATAAAGAAGATCTCAATAAACGATACTGTCAGTCTTCATTAGGAAAGTTAGAAAACTAACTAGCATGTAACATTATTGTACTATCACAATATGTATAGTTATGAAGAAATCTATTCAAGAAATTATGTACAGACTTACATTTTCATTCAACTATGATGATATGAATTCCCCTTTAATTGTTCCACTGTACCAGTAAAACAACTTCATCGTTCATTCACATAACTCGCTCTCA